GAGTTTACATTGCAATCTCGGTGGGACCGATCGCTCACTTCGGTTAGACCGAAACGTTACGAAGGGAAATAGAGAGATTACAATCCCATCTCAATGAGACCGAGATCCCTATCGGTGAGACCGATTTGCCTAGGGTTTGTGGCAGTGGCTATGACATTTGAACTCGGTGGCGCCGGATAGAAAGAATCGGTGGTATCGATTTTGACTTTAGGTTTGGGTCATATTAGGATGTGAGAAAGTAGTTGAGGGTATTTGGAGCATATCACTAAGCACATGAAGCAAGAGGGTCATTAAGCAACACCTTATCTCTCCTTGATAGTATTGGCTTTTCCTATAGACTCAATGTGATCTTGGATCACTGAAATATAAAATGTAGAGTCTTGAGCTTTTGAGCTTGAGCCAATCCTTTGTCCTTGATATTTTGAGGGATCCACTTTCATCATCCATGCCATGCCATTCATTGAGCTTCCTGAAATAATAGTCTTGGAATAGCATTAGCTCAATGAGCTATATGTTGTTACGAATTACCAAAACCACCTAGGGATAGTTGCACTTTCAAGGTGGAGCTTGACGAGCTTGTGGATGAGCTTGTGGAGCTTGGCGTTGCACACGCGGTTGGTAGTTCCTCTCTTGGATTTCTTCGCGAAGAGCTTCTTCTTGATTTCGCCGCTCGCGGTTGCGGTTGGCGATGGCTCGACTTGATTCTTGAAGGGCACGTTGTGCCTCAAGAGCTTGCGCTTCACGTTGTTGTTGTTGAAGACGTTGAGCCTCGGCGTCTTGTTCCTCTTGGTTTAGACGCGCTTGTTCTTCTTCTTGGCGCCGTAGTCGTTGTCGTTCTTGGGCTTGAGCAAAAGTGACTTGGTTTGATTGAGGACGAGGTAGATGCTCGTCGACTTGCTATTGTGAATGCTTGTCATGTAGCGGGTTGCGATACGCATGACGGTCTTGACGCGCTGCTCGTCGAAGAGTGTTCGATGACAGTGTACTTGAGTCGGAGAAGGTGTCGTCGGAGTGTCGACTCGAGCGGCTCCGTCTTAAGGATGAAGAAGTGGAAGGACGCCGGTTCCTCATGAAGGCGCGGATCTCATCCATTCTTGCATCATTCTCTTGCTTTTGAGCGTCGAATTTGTTGTCGAAGTAGTCCCTCATTGCTTGTTGCTCTTGGTGTAATGCTTTTTGAGCTCCAAATAGGTGGTTCTTGGTGACGAATGATGACATGTCATCGTCGTTCTCGATGAGTGGTGGATTGGTAGAAGAACTTGACCTATCCATCATTCCATGTAAAATGTAAGTGGTAGAAGGAAAAGAACGTGTACCAAATGTACCTTGGCCGAAGTTGAAGATGAATCAAGTTCACTCAAATGCGGACAATGAAATAGCACTGTTGGTACCAATTCTTGTCGGTTCTCACACCTACACACGTAAAAGCTTATGGTGGAGCTTGGTTAGGATGGTGGCACAAAATTTGATGCAATAGTAAGTGAGCTTCAATAATGTTGGAAAAGATTCACAAATTTGCAAATGCAACAAGTAGACCAAGCAAGTATGGGTACACGGAAACACACACGCAAATAGATAAATGGGATTGTGCAATCCAAAAGTGAGCCAAAATGTGGAAACCATGAAAATGCTCTTGTTGCACAATACTAGAGAGACGCTAGCACGATTGCACAATAGGCGGATACGCAAACTTGTGCACAACCTAGAAGGCAAAAATGCAACGATCTCTATCCCAAGTATGGTATATGTATGATATTTCGGTGCTATGATCCAAGATGATCGGATATGACAATCTTAATGTTGTATGATGCTATGCTTCTTGCTTATAATCTCTTTGCTTATCTTTCCTCTTTGCTTAAAAGCTTGGGTGGCTCTTTCACTTTTGAGCTCTTTTCTTATGCAAAATCTCATGAACCAAGATAACAATTGTGTATGATATGACAACTTTGTGACACACAAGTGGATCTCAAGATATGCACCACTACTGTATGGTATGTATGCTATGGAGTATGATCACTAATGTGCACAAGTCATGTTGCCTGCAATACTCAACGACTAGTCTCGATGGGTAAGCTACACAAAACGAGGCAATGTGGGTTATCAATGCAATTGCAAGGTATGACAAAGATGTCGTCGAAGTTACCGTCCTTGGCGATGATGAGTAGTCGATGGAGATGAGCGGTGGTGATGATGGAGTCGAACCGTACCTATATAGCCGAAACACAATAGGACACGGGAAACCACAACCCAAACTCTCAAAGACCAAAATGTGTCAAAATCGACCTAGGAGGTAGCGGTTAGCGGTGGTGGTGTTTGTGGAAGGTGGTATGGGTATGCGGAAGTAGACATGGGCTCCGAACAAAATTGGGCGAGGATATGGTGGATGGTGGCGCGGGGGTGGAACTGCTGCTGCCAGGGTCCGGATGTCCGGGCCAGACGCCGGATGTCCGGTACACCAGATGTCCGGTGGACACGGCGGATGTCCGGGCTCCTGGATCGGGGACGGACGCGATGAACTCCACGGGAAAATTCGCAACTCCGGGGCAAAATTTGGACGAATTGGTGGATGGAAAAGGGTGGGGAGGGTGGGGAAAGCTAGATCCACACGCAGCAACACAAATCCATGGAGCAAATCCAACAAAATCTCAACTCACCAACAAATCACAAAAAAAATTGGGGCTATTTTTGGTGGGAAATTTTCGAATTTAGGACGAAAACAACAAAATCAAGCTAGAAAAAGAGGGGTAGGGGCTCCAAAAACGTGATCAACCTGGCTCTGATATCAAGATGATGTAGGGCAAAACCCTATGTGGACGATCTTTCACGTTTGGAGGGGATCCTATGGGGATTCACGAAGAACACACGGAAGCACGAAGGGGAAACACGGGGAAAACGAGAGAGAATCACTAAACCGACATAGAATCAATCACACAAGTGCTAGATCACCGAACACAAAGAGATACACGAGATCCAAAGTCAATAAAGGTAAGGATACAAAGGTAACCGATCTTCTTCGTGAGGTGGTCTTGAATCCGCGAGGGGATCTTCCCACGAGGGGGTCTTGAATCCGATTGGATCTTCTCCGAGAAGGCCGCGGTCTCTCACGAAGAGGAGATCCGATGGATGAGCGAAGCTCTATCTCTAATCTGAGCTAAATCAACGCTAACCCTAAAACGTACGGGAGGAGGGAGTATATATAGTCAAGGGGCGAAGGGATACACGGGTCTCTGCCCAAAGAGGCTGCGCGCAAGCAGGGGCGCCGGATGTCCGGGCGTTGGGCCGGATGTCCGGTGGTTCACGAGGGACCGGATGTCCGGGCTGGTGGTGCCGGATGTCCGGTGCTTCCGGAGGGACTGGATGTCCGGTGCGTAGGCCGGATGTCCGGGCTGTTGGGGCCATCTTCGATGCATTCGGGAAGCCTGGGCCGGATATCCGGGCGGGAGGCCGGATTTCCGGTGGGTGGCCAGATGTCCGGTGCGTAGGCCGGATGTCCGGGCTGTTGGGGCCATCTTCGATGCATTCGGGAAGCCTGGGCCGGATATCCGGGCGGGAGGCCGGATTTCCGGTGGGTGGCCGGATGTCCGGTCGCTGTAGCCTTCTTCTGCAGGGGCTGGCTGTGTGGATCTCCAGGGACAGGATGTCCGGGACCTTGGCCGGATGTCCGGTGCCTGGAAGCTTCTTTTGCCTTCTTCCATTGGTTCACTTCTTCCTTGGACTTGGGGTCTTGTCCATCTTCATGTGCATCCTCAGGAGGGTCCTCCTGGTACCTAATCATGCACAACATTCCGAATTGAGGTAGTAGCCATGTCTCAGAGGGTCATATGATATTTTACTAAGGAGAGAAGTCACCTCGGTCTCGAGAGCTCGAGCTCGTGCTCTTGTCATGGGTCCTTTTGGTGCTTGGCGAGGCGACGGAAGGTCCATGGGGATGACCGAAGGATGCTCCGCATCAGCGATGCTCGCCGTGACGACCAAAGGGACCGACAACCTCGCCACCTTTGGATGGTCAGCGACCAACAGGCCAAAGCTGAGAACGAACACAGCGAGCCACGAGATGAGTATGTGGAAGACGAGCACAGCAAGCACCATGTACGCCACAGCCACGTCCTCGGCCTGCCCAATGAGCCGCAGGAATGGGCCAGAGTACCAGTAGAAGAAAGCGATGGCGACGGCCGTCACAAACTGGAGGAGGAGCGCTCTCTGGCAAACAACGCCCATCGCCCACACCGTCTGCACTGCAGTCGACATGCCGAGCTGCATTCCGCATACAAGTGAGAAGACGTCGTTTCTAAGCAGCACAAAGGACTATAATACATAGTGCAAGGACGAGCGCAGCTAGTTACCATGATGCCGTAGGCTAGGCCCTACCAGTCTATTGGCTGGCTGTGAATAACTTGGTGACAGGTGCAGGGGTATGAGATGTTACCAACTGAACAAAAGAACTACAAATCTGTCAGTTTTAGGCAGAAGAAAGTGAGTAAGCTTTCAAGCATGTAATGTGTCTGATTCTGACAATCAGATCAAATCTTATACTCCCTCCGTAAACAAATATAAGAGCGTTTAGATCACTAAAGTAGTAATCTAAATGCTCTTATATTTTTTTACAGAGGGAGTACATCCATGCCAATAAACACATCATACATCAACATGTCAGACAGCAATGGCTTACTTTTCTTGTTTCAGAAGACCTCTTTCTAATAACTTAACTATAAGCTTTCCAGCAGCTGGTTGTCTCTCTAAGGTCAGCTGATTGTCAACTTTTCGACACAAATTAATATCAGGAATTAGATTTCTCTGAAACATCTGGCACGCCACATTGTATGACTGAACTGCGAGACCTCTGTTAAGAAAACTCTCCATCAGAATGTGGCATGTCTGAGCGTCTCTCTGCGAGGCAGTTCTCAGTACCTCGCTGAGGAGACTGTAAGCTTCATCTATTTTACCTAATGCACATAGCTTCTCGATGACCTGATTGTATACACTCTTAAGCTCTTGTCTTGCTAACATCTTATCCAGTAGATCGAGTAATTCTTCCACTTTACCCTTCTCCAGTATCTATGTATCACTGTCCTGTATGTAACAAGTGTAGGGACAATTCCTCTATTAAGCATTTTCTTCACAAGCTCCGTCGCTTCTTTCAGCCGACCTTTCTTTCCCAAAGCATTGACAACAACAGTATAAGTTACAACATCTGGATGCCTGTTGCTGAGATACAAGTCATCCAACAAAGACAACGCTGATTCCAAATCCTCCTGCCGAGAAAATCCATGAATTGCAGTAGTAAAGTTGATAACATTAATGGTACAACCTTTGCTTTGGCACTGCTCCATGAAGTCTTTGGCCTCTGCCGGCTTTCCTTCCTTACATAACGCATGTATCAGTAAGTTAATCTCCACAGTGGTGGGAAAGAAGCCCTTCTGCAACATCTGGGCAACGGCATCACATGATTCCTTTAGTTTCCCTTCTCTTCTAAACCCATGCATTACAACGCTGTATGTGATATCACTTGGGAGTCCACTCCTCTCCACTGTTGTTTAGCAATTCCCAAGCCTCTGAAGTTTTTCCAGCTTTGCAGAGACCATTTAATAATGCAGTATGTGTGACTATGTTTGGCTTGCAGCCGTTCTTATACATATGCTTCATCATCTTTCTTGTTTGATCAATTTTCCCGATCCGACAGAATCCATCCACCACTGCACTGTACGTCACAACATCAGGGTGACATTCTTTTGAGATCATCTCACTTACAATCTCCTCCCATTCAAGCAGAAAGAGTGCACAACTGCACTATATCCAACCTCATCAACACGAAACCTTTTCCCCTCTGACTCCCTCAAGAACTCCAACGCCTCATCTGCATGCCCATGCTTTGCAAGCACATGGATGAGCATGTTATACGTGACCTGATCTGGAAATAGACCCGCATCATTCCTCATCCTCCCAAGCAAAGAGCGCACCTCTGCCACCCTCTTCTCCTTGCACAAGAAGCCTATCACTGTATAATAGGTAATCTTATCAGGTGGGCACCCATTTTGCAGCATCACACCGATCATCTCCAGCGCCTCAACAACCCTCCGCATGCTACATAACCCCTTAATAAGGCAATTGTATGTGACTACATCCGGCTCGACCCCAACACGTCGCAACCGGTCGCTAAACTCAAGCGCCTTGTCAATGCGCCCAGCAAAAACAAGCACATTCACTGCCACGTTGCATATCGATATGTCAGGCGCGCACCCGTCCTTCTGCATGAGCTGGAGCACGCGCATGGCGGAGCGGAGCTTCCCCGCGCGGCTGTACGAGAGCATGAGGTGCGCGAACTGCTGCGTCCCGCGTCTCATGCGGCGGCGGATCATGAGGCGCATGACGCGCCGGGCGGGGTCGTGGAGCCTGGTGCGGCTGAGGAGGCTCAGCATTTCGTCGAACACCTCCGGGGCGTGCCGGTAGCGCCACTGGCGATCTGCCCAGCGGAAGAATTCGAACGCGGCGCGGGTGTCCGTCTGCGCCTGCGCGCGGAGCACGGCGCGGACCTGCGGTGGGGAGAGCACCCGGAGCAGGTGCCGGAGCTGCGCCTCCAGCTTCGGGGTCCACGAGCCGCGGAGCTCGAGCAGCTTGCAGGTGTCGCGCACGAGGCGGCTGCGCGACTCCTCCGCGAGGTCATCGTCGCGGGGAATCTCCTCGACGACGGGCGAGGGGGCGAGTTCTCCCGCCGCGGCCGAGGAGGATGCGGCGGCGGTGCAGAGGCGGCGGGGCTGGAGGAAGAGGAGCAATGGGTTTTTGGCTAGATGCCCAGCCATGGCGCCCGCTCGTGTGCGCGGGAGGGAATGCGTTTGGTGGTTAGGAAAGCGGAGTGTGCCGGCGGCGGCGGCGGGCGGCTCACTGGCCGACGAGCCGGAGCAGGCTGTGTGGGGTCACAGCGTCACGGCAGCCCATGTAGCCTTTTTGCTAAGGGAAAAGGCATTCACATTCGCGTTCCGTTCACGGCGCGTATCTCCACCGTCCAAATCTGCCCACGATGCATGATGCATTTGAAAAAGTTGAGAAGAGCCCCATTAAGATCCAGGCTAGTCTTGTCCAGTAGTAGGTGTTGCTGTTGCTAGATTCGTTTTACCCCTCCGGCCGTGGAATTAATTTCTATGATTACCTCTAGCCTATGTTGTTGGAAGTAATTTAAACATCACAAAATTAAAATATTTTGTTATTTAAATTGTTTTCAAAGAATGTTCTTTAAATAGTTTTAAATAGAACCAAACTTTGTAAAACTGGTATATGAACTTTGTCATGACAAATAGAAGAACTTTTGGAAAACTCTGACATAGCTCGCAATTTTTGAAAAATAGGTAGAGAACTTTTTAACCATATTTTTGGAACTTTGTCGCCAAAACTAAAGAACTTTTCATTTTTATTTGTTTTTTCAAAAGTCCTTCTAATTTTCATGGCAAAGTTCAGACACATCCTTCATAAAGTCCGACAAAGCCTTCAAAAAAATTGCACGTGCGCGATTTTTAGTGAGGCTGCGGGTTAATATGTAATAACCCCACAGTAACTAGTGATGTTATACTGCAAAAAAGTAACTAGCCACGTTAATTGTCCATGCCAGATATAATTATGAGGCTGGCCTGCCACTAAACAGGAGTATGGAAGGGAAAAGTGGGCAGAGCATGCATAGGACCTAGCTAGAGAAATGAATCTACTAGTCTGTGGTTGATGCACAGCTGACACAATGGTGCACTACTAGGAAAAGGCCTACTAATGGCGCACCAGTTTTGCCTACTAATGGCGCATCACTGGTGCGCCATTACTAGCACATCATTAGTAATTTTTACTAATGGCGCACCACTGATGCGCCATTAGTATCTGGTATACTAATGGCGCACCACTGGTGCGCCATTAGTATAGGCCACAGTGCGCCATTAGTATAGGCCACTGGTGCGCCATTAGTATAGGCCACAGTGCGCCATTAGTATAGGCCACTGGTGCGCCATTAGTATAGGCCACGGTGCGACATTAGTATTTTTGAATTTTGAAGGCGGGAAAATAGTAGTGGCGCACCGTCTAACCCCCACCGTGCGCCATTGCTATTTTTGAATTTTGAATTTGGATCTGGATCGTGATTTTTTTGCCCATTTTTTGCTAGTTTTTTTGCTCGTTTTTTGACACGATATTATTTCAAATTTTGTTCCTGTTTTTGGATCTTGTACGTTCTTTTGCCGTGTTCTTTTGCCAGAGAGGAGTTCGCCGGAGAGGAGGAGGAGGAGGTCACCGGAGAGGCGCTCGCCTACATCGACGGAGAGGAGGAGGAGGTCGCCGGAGAGGAGTTCACCGAAGCATCGGAGAGGAGGAAGGAGAAACCATGAGGGAATGGGAGGAGAGGAGGGAGGAGGAGCTCACCGGAGAGGAGGGAGGAGAAACCGTGAGGGGAGGGGAGGGGAGGAGAGGAGGGAGGAGGAGGTCGCCGGAGAGGAGGAGGATGTCGCTGGAGAGGAGGAGGAGGAGGTCGCCGGAGAGGAGGAGGGTAGTATGGTGGAGGAGAGAAGGGAAGATGGAGTGGAGGAGAGGAGGAGATGGAGTGGAGGAGAGGTGGAGTGGAGGAGAAGAATGAAGAGGTAAGGAGGAGAGGACCACGCCCAGCCATATATACGACATAGTAATGGCGCACCGTGGGCAGGTGCGCCATTACTAACTTTTTTTTATTTTTTTGATTTATTTTGAATTTTGAAGGCGGGAAGATACTAATGGCGCACCACAGGCAGGTGCGCCATTAGTAAGTTTGAATTTTTTTGCCTCTCCAGATCTTAAAAGCCCCGTATTTTTTTTCTGTTAGGTTTTTGAGGATTTTGAAAATGTTTAACGGGGTTCCCCCGGTTAAATTCAGATGTAACTTTTCGAGTAGATGATTTTTCATATAAAAAACTTTTTCATCCGAGTTCGTACGCAAAAGTTATGCCCATTTTTACAAATTCTCGAGAGATTTTGCAAAAATTCGAAAATTCATATTTGTAAATTTTGCTAACAACTAGACCACATATCACATGGGAATCTTATTTTCTTTTATTTTTTTGATATTTCTATCATTTTCTTTTAT